AATTTTTTCCTCCACTGCTGATGATTCAAATAAGTGACTAGAAAAACTCTTCTGTTACTTATGTGACATACCTCTGACATGTGGGCCAGAATGTAGCGACTTGGTAGCCAGAGGCAGCCAAGAGTTGGGTGTGGTAGGTATTCATGTCCTTGTTGTGGTAAGTATTTATGTGTCCAGGCTAGAGCATCAGTATAGCAGGTGATCAAGCCCTAAATGAGAAAGAAAACCATTCTGAGTTTTCAGAGTTAGTATCATATTGGAATTGTGCTTGTTCAATTCCTTACTGAGCTTTTGTTAGAAATAGATGAATTGTGGAAGAATGGAAAATGTTCAAAATCCCTTAGCATGTAAAGAAGCAAGGAGGAGAGATTACTGTGCTTTTCAAAGCTAAAAACATCACAGGGTAGTCTAGGAATCAGATCCCTGCTTATGCTTCAAATAAGATGCTTTATGCTGACAAGTGCTCCTAAATTTTGTGACCTGTGAGTGTCTACCAGCATCATACAGTCTTTCTGATTCATAATTCACTGCTATCATCAGCTTTTCATAAAAAGAGTTTTGAGAGTATAATTCCCAGCAGCTTACCATAAACCATGTATGGGTTGTAGACTGCTGCTTGGGAACTGATAATGTAGCCAGGAGCCCAGAGTGCCTGTCATACAAAACACTCTCACAGCATGTTTATTAGTAATCACAGCACACAAGTTGAGAGTCTGAACATCCACTGAAACTCTGCCATGGTATTTTCACTTATGGGGAAAATGCTACAAATTAATGGTGAGTCAAAATAGTGGGAAGCTTAAATCATCACTGGTAAAGCTACACCCATTTAAAAAAAAAAGAGTGGCACATATAAAATATAATGTAATATACTCTCAATTATCAAAGATACTAGAAGGACACACAGGTACATATGTCTGTACAATACAGAGAAGAAAGCCTGCAGTATGCTTTCCTCCTTTTCCAATGTTGTGGCAGTGCACTCTATTTTACCTGGATGAAATCACAGAGATTTAAGCAGAACAGTATTGCTGCATTGAAACTGAAGATCCAGGTCAGCCCAGATCCTTACTCTTATTGGAACTTTTTAATTCTGAATATTTTGTATGGATGAAGGCAATGCAATGAAAAATATACAAACTCTTGCTAAGCAAACAGACATGTTTTGTAAATAAATAGCAAATGAAAACTTCCAGGTTATTTGGATTACTGAAAATGTTTTTGCAACTGATACTTGCCACTCAAGAAACAGAATGTCAGCACTTACTGTTGTTAGCAATGTTTTATGGATAAGACCAGAGTTTATGAAGAGCAGTGCTACACAACAAAAGTTTCTTTGAAACCATTTATGCAATCCCCATAGCTCAAAACAAGCAAAGGTGTATTTAATTTAGCTAGAGGCAGTTAAATGCCCACAGAACTTGATGCTGATTCAATAAATTGTAACCTTTTAATGGAAGGAATGCAAAGTTTTTCAAGAATGATAAGGTTTGATAAGGTTCTCAGTTCTCTTTTCTGAGACACACTGAATCCACACCTGGCTGTACTTTCAAGTGCTGTTTTTAGGAAGGTGTAGGATAAAGGTAATGTTTTGTCAGTATTACACAAGGTTTTGCCATCTGTGTATTTTGTATTTTGCTTTTTTAAAAAACTCTTGAACTTTTTGATTTATCATAATGTTAAGGAGGAGAAGGCAAGATCCTTCTATGATGAAAAAGGGCATTGTGTGAGACAATGGGGGTAAGGAGTAGGGTAAGACAAAAGAAGTGGAAAAGCTCTCCAGGAAAGAGATTGGCTCCTTTAAAGCAGCAGAATAAAGGTTTTGATCTTGTGTATTGATCTTGACGTAAAACTGCTGCAGTGGGACATCTTACTTCCTCCCTATCAGATGGAAAGACAGATTATTGTGGACGTCCTATCTAATTTCTCCATACTCTCTTTATTTGCACCTTCTCAACACTTTTGGGAGACTTTGAAAAATAATTCTTTTTACTGAACTTTTCTCATATCTTCTCTTTTAAATATTTTCTTTCTATTGCTGTAGGAACATTGGAACCTTTGGTTCTTAAAAATATCCTAGCTTTGCTCCTTATCTTTGCTCCTACTTCTGCTCCTTGTTTCTGAGGTAAAATTTATAGTGTTCCATTTCTCCTAGTTTTGAACAAGAAAACTTTCTCTGTGAAGAATATAGGTGCATAAAATTTTGTATATGAAAGAATTAGATATAAATCTTCTTGGAAAAATAATGGTATTTTTCTGTTCTGAGGTTGAATTCTGAGATTTGATTAACCTTGTTAATAATTTTTTTTTCTAACAATGGGTATTGTGAAGAACTCTCAGATTTTGCAGGTGTTTATGGCACTGATCCTGGAAGGTTTTCTTTGGGAATAATTATTGGTCTGTAGAGGACTTCACCAGAAAGTAGGAAAGTTATTGCTAAACAAGAATAAACAAGGATAAACATTGATAATAACAAACATAATAACAAACAAGGACAAACTTGGATAATAACACCACCAATATATACAATCAGTCTTTTGTCAGACAATGCATTAAGTATTTCTGTAAGAAACACAGCTGAAATCTTCAGACTGGCTCATAATTAGGCTCCCTTCAAAAAGAAATTTGTTAATACAATAGGTACCAAATCCCAGTTCAACTTAATTTCACTGACTTTTGGACTAAAAGCATTAAGCTTGAACTAGCTAAAAATGTACAAAATGTGCATTCAATTAAAGAGTAATTAGATACTCAATCACCCTTACATTACACTAGGGATTATTCAAGAAAGAAGAGAGGTACTACTCATGCAGTGTGTAAAACAATTTTCTTAATTAGTTTAAGCACTAATTGAGATTGAGGGAGTGTCACTGTGTCACAGCATTAGTTTACCTAAATGGAACCTTAAAACCACAAAGGTTTTGGCTTCTTTTGAATAGTCTCACTCGGATTGTTCAGTTTTATTCACTGATCCAGTACCTCAGGCCACAAAAATGGAAATTTTCTTTTCAATTCAGGGAGGAGTGGGTTGGTTGGTCCCTGCACCCTTGTATCAGTAGTCAACTGAAAAACATGCCAAGACTTTTTCCAGAGATGGAGAATAATTTGTTATTACTTGGTTGTTGTTTTGCTTTTTTTTTTATGCTACACCTATATATACCAAGCCCCAGGAAGAGCTGGGAATCCTCTGTGCTGTTATGTGGAGTGTAAAACCCTTTCCCTGCTTACAGCCTGCCTTAGAAGGCAGCTGATGGAAAGCTCTTCAAGGGGACCGTCAAATGGTGGTGCTGCCAGACAATGTGGCTGTCATGGTTCGGTGCTGACACCATGCCAGTGTCCCATGAAAATCCCTTTTCCCTGGTGTCTACTGTGAGATGGGATCAGGAATAGAGCAAAGCAGGCTCCAGCTTAGGAATAGAAGGAAAAAATCTTTATTAACTTACAATATATAAAAGAAACACACAGAACTCAGGATGAAAGCCTTCCAAACATTCCTTCTCCCCCCAGCCAAGTTCCCAATACATCACAGTAAGATAGAACCTTAGACTCTCAATTCAGTTGTCACCCTTCAGATCACCAACTCTTGGTCCATTGCCACCTTCTAGATAATCAATTCATCAGTTCATCAAGAGGAGAGGAGTCCCTCTTATGCCATAGGCTTCCCCAGGAATTACCAATTCCCACACATGTGTTTCCATGTCACTCGTGGCACTGCCTGGAGAACATCTGCCATCGTGACCTCTTCCTTCCACGTCCAGTGCTCTCACCACTGCACATGGACCAGAGCTGCTTCTATTGTTTTCCTTTTAAGGGTGCTTTTTCCAGTTCCAAAAAGAGCACAGTCTCTCACCTTTGGGACACCTGTCCCCCCCAGATTTCACCCCCTGGGGCTGAGGGGTCTCAGCACTAAACCCTCTTGGCTCTGAGGCATTACCTGCAAGACTTGTGTCCAGAGGCTGTGAGGGTTAGCCCTCCTTGTCATTCCTTGGTCGATGACAGGATCCTGTGACAGGGATCCCAAATGCCTGGCTACAGTGCCATCCAGAATTGAAGCCTCGCCTGCGGCCTCCCAGAGATGGCTTTGGGGGGTATTGAGGGAGTATATGGAAATCACAGATTGTCTTGAGGGTAGGCACTGACTTCTTGGCAGCACTGCTGGTTGCTGACAACCTCTACACCCTCTTCCCCTGTCAGGACCAAGTGGGAATTCTCTGGAATGAGTTGACTCTTCCTGCAAGCAGTTGTAGCCCCAGGTGACCATTTGCACCCGAGCGCTTTCAGATTGTTTGTGTGTACACACTGAGCTGTTGTTAGCACTATAATAACCTCAGGAAAAAAAAAAGGAAATTATTATTACAACAGAATGAAGCAGTCAGACATTCTCATGCCAACTGCCTCTGAACTGAGAGCACTGGGTCAACCTGAGCACCTGGATTCTTAAGGTTATGCCAAAGCACATGAATATGTGTTTGCATGAAATCAAGTATTGATTAATGCTGCTAATGAATATTACTGCCTTGGGAGGAATTGAGTGATTGCTTTCTATCCTTTGAGTCCACCTGACTCCCATCAGAGCAGGTACTCAGCACTTCTCTTAGTAAGGCCCTTAAAACAGTAAATGGTAAAAAGTTTGCTGTTACCAGTATATTTTTCTTTCTAGTTTACTACTCATGAGCACCAGGTTATAATCAATTACCAGACTGATTCAGAAAGCCAGTTTTAAAACTTTGTGTTAAATTAATAATTTTACTACTGCATTTAACTTTGCATTTTTACTGCCATTTCCTCCATTGCTAGTAAATCTTGCAGCACTGGCTTTACCCTAAAAGAGAAGAATTAGTACCATTATGTCACTGAAGTATATACCCTGAAACTGCTCCCACCTGCTGTCATGAAATCCCAGCTTTTAGTTTTCCCTGTCTTCCTGGCTGGATATAAACAGTCTTTCAGACCCACTGCAGAGGAATTTCAGTAACATAATTGTTCCATTCTCTTTTCAGAGAGGGGGAAGACAATGCTCCCACAGTGCCCGCAGATGAGAAATGGAAACTTTTGAGACTGCTGCTTCAGTTGAACCACAAAGCCTGTATTGTTTGTCTTCATCTAATTCAGCCTTGATAGACAGCTGTGACAGTTGGTCTGTCCACATGGTCCAGGGAAATTCTGGGAATGGGCTGTACATTAAAAGAAGAAAACATATTAAATCTTCCAATTCACACTGTTAACTATTTTCAAATTGTCATTATCGTTGCTTTTATAGCTACTTTGGCATAGCATTCAATAGTCATCTGTGATCCAAATAGTACTGATTTTAAACTTGGTATGAATGCTAATATGTAGAAATACCTATTATTGTTTTGAATGTTAGATTTGCTTTTATTCCATATCATCTCTTCTGCTGTCAGTAGCCATATTTTCTGTAGAAGGGAGATGCATTCTACAAAGGTAATGAAAGCACTGTTTGTTCACAAGGAGCATTATACAAATTCAGAATTAATTTTTTGGCAGAAAGGAGAACTTCTCTGCTAGACATATGCACTTGACATGATTTATCTGAATAAAGCTGAATGACATTTGCATTACTAGGAACCTTACTGAGAAGAAGGACAGTTTGGAACTGAGTAAAATTAACCAACATAACAATAAACAGAATTGTCTGGATTATTTTCTACTTGGTGAGCCGTGGAATTTTGTGATATGGTGTTGAGTAGAGGCAGAAAATTTTCAGTCTTTGTTCTCCTGTGAATTATGACAGTTCTATTTGTTTTGTACACTGCTGAGGATGGCGGTCTGGGCACTTACTCTGCATGTCCTGAGCTGGACTCTCAGCATGGGGATTGCCATGCTGGGCCACACATGACTTATCTGACAGAGAAGATAAGGCAAGGGTAGTCTGAACCAGCCAGTCAACCTTACAGCTTCTAATTCCTGAAACACCAACACCAGGATCGGAAGGACAGAGTCACTAATTTGGGAGGCAATAACTCTGATCACTGTAGCTATTAGTGAGGTCCCCCGTCTTAGCATGAGGGACATTGCAGATATCTGTGTCAGTGGAAGAACCCCAGAGGCACAGATGGCAACTTCCAGTCTGGGGCACAGTGAAGGTGCAAACTGAGGGCTGACAGAGGGGAGGCCACTCCCTTGGAGCAGATCAATCACCACTCACGAAGTCATTCCCAGGCAATGGTAAATGCAGAGTCAGAAGGCGCCCTTAATCCCCCTTGTCAAGGGTTATGGGGAGAGCTACTGCTGAATTACGAGCTCTCTGAGTAATTTATGTGTATTAGGGCCAGCAGAAACAACAAGGCAAACCAACACAGTTCATGTGAGCTGGGTGAAGGGGGACCAGATATTGCTGACCGCTTGAAGTGTTTGTAACTGGGTGTTCTGCGGAAGCACATGCTTCCTTTGGAGATAAGTCTTGGTGCATTGCAATTAATACACAGAAAATGTAAAGCAAGCAGCCCACCATGAGGTTATTTGTTCATCTGGGCTTAGCAGAGTAACAATCAGCATGTTGTTCTTTGGGCTTAGAGAAACTTACATTTCTTAGGGTTATCCCCATCTCTTGCCCACATTTAATGAAGTGTAACCCCATTGTCTATACAATGGGTTCAAGATTTCAGTGCTGGCCAAAACCACTCTTTCCACCTGCAGTGTCTGCAACGTGTGTGTGTAGCAGCTTCACTGGCTGCTGCCCCTCTTCCTTCTGCAGTTACTCCCAAGCATCTGCAGCCAGAGCCCAACCCCAACACCTGATTACCAGACCCTGGCTTCCCACTGATCTGCATCATACCAAAGGGCAGGAGAAGTCTCTGCTGCAATGGCCTGGCTGGACTGTCTGTAGTTTTTGACAGGAGCCTGATAATTTGTCTTAGTTGTCAAGTTTGGTACTAAAATCTTGGGAAAACAAAATCTGTGAGGTGGAAGTCAGCTGTTTTCTGCCAAGTGAAGGTCTGTTCTTGTCTCCTTGCACCCAGCGAGAAATGAACCCTCCAAAAGTGGAGTGACCCATGTTGCTGACCTGACAGTTCTCAGGTTGTATACACAGCTCATTCAGGTCTTCTCCCTTTGCATACAACATACTATTAACTACTGAGTGTTAACTGACAGGAACTGTAGTAGTCATATGGCAAATATTGACATTATGATGAAATCTGAACTAGATTTATTCTCTAAATAAACATGTTCCTTATCTTGGAGCTGTCTGATATTCTTGTGGCTGTGAAATACAGATACGTTGCAAAGCAAATGATGTCATGTCTCCACCAAATAGTCCATTATTTCCTTTTCCTGTGCTCCCTTCCTGTGTTTGCTGTTCTTTCAAGCATTGCCTTGTGCAGAGAAATTCTAGTAATATAAATACTACTGCTGAGGAATTGAAGTTAGTAAATTTGTCTCAACACTTGTCAGACTTTTTTTTCCTAGGCTTGGCTTTGAAAGAAAAATAAAACCCACTAGTAAAAATACTTATAGCAGTTTTGTGTCTTAAAAACTGGATTTAATTATAACAACATATTCATTCACAAAACACACCCATTACAGATTGATCAACCCACATTTATTGTGTGTTGGGAAAAGTTAAATTAGTCTTTCTGGTTTTGATATGAATCCACGTGGAGAAATGTTCAAGAGGGGCTCTTGGTGTATTATTTCAGTTACAACTGCACCCATCAGAGGTTTTATTGAGTATGGAAAGGCTCCACTGCTCTCCAATTGGAGTTCCACATGCCTACCTGTGTATTAATATTTTTAAAAAATCATAAAAACTGATAAGGGTGTTCTGACGATAGTGTAAGACTGTAAATTAATAATTTCCTCTTTAAGCCTACAGCTACTAAAATTTTGAATCAGTTTGCTCTCTGGAAGTATTTTTAACAGTAAATGTTAATGGACATAATGCTTCCTGTAATTTTAGAGATTTATTAGAAATGTGAATTATAAGTTTCCAAAAGATGCTGAGCAGTTGCACACTTGCTAGTCACAAAAACAATGACATAATACTTAAAAGCAACTTTGTGCTTCATCAGGCAAAAGCTAGCTCCACAGGCTTCTGATAAACTGTAGGAAGGCATTGGGAATAGGAGGAAATCCAACTCTTGAGAGAAGAAGGGTGAATTGGGGCAGATGCCTGTTGTCAGTGATCATCCATCTGCAGGTGATATGTTCTTCAGGTTCCTCTGTAGTTTTCTGGAGCTCTCAGAAAAATTTAGAGCCTTTAAACTCTTAGTTTGACTTCTAACCGTGGTATGATGTGCTTTGCACTTTGGGCTGGGATTCTGGGCTTCCACTTACTCAAATTAGAGGAGCTTCTTAGAAAGCACTGTGCCTTCCTAATGCTGCCTGTTGCCCTGCCTCCCATCTTTTCTTGGTGTGAAAATTAAGTCATAGATAGGCAAACCAATAAATTCTAGGCCTGATCCCAAAATATACTTGAGAGGTAAACAAGAATAAATTGGTGTGAGTTAAAGGATAGGCTTGATCCTAGACATTACACTGGCAAGTGTGGGGTAGTGGCCGTGTATGGAAACATGAACATGAGTCTAAGAGGAAATAAGAGTGGTCCCTGGCTAGCATCCTGGTTTGTATCCTAAAGGTTGACTCATCTGTGTTCCTGAATCTCAGAGGATAATTGAAGACTACTGTTGCTGAGGAGATAAAAGTGCTTAACAGCCAGGTAACATAAAGAAAAAATAATTTTACTGAGAAGTTTCAGCTGAATTTTGTGAGATTGCAGAAGGAACAAGGAGAGGAGATCCCTGCACATGCAGCTTCACAAGAAGTCACACCAATCAGCATTTTCCAGACCCTGCCAGGTTGCAGCTGCTGTAAAAGCACAGACTCATCTTCATTGAGTTTGACTGGTGGGCACAGCACTTGGTGCAGTGATGGCCTTGGACAAACAATTCCTTTCATGGTTGTCACATCCACTCCAGTGAGAATGAAGGGAAACTTCCTTTCTCGTAGAAATGGGGGGAGTCCCAGGGGGAATGAAGATTGTAGAGAAAAATGGGAAAACCCTCCAGGGGTTGAGAACTGTGGAAAGAGTGCAGATTTTGGCCTGGTTTTTCTTTGTTGGGTTTCATGATGGCATCACCCGCCATGGAGTTTTCTTTGAGATGTGTTTTCCTTTATACACCAGTGCTGCCTGCTGAAATATCAGCTAAGTGGAGAACCACCCACTACACCTTCTGATGCTAGACCATGCAGGACATGTTTGGAAGTGTTCATGTGCACATTTATTTATGAAACTGTAGCTGCCATTGTAAGCACACCTATGTGTGTGTATTTATCTCTTTAGAATACTGCACATTAAAACCTATTTTAAAACCAAAAGGAATTCAAATTGAATTTTAGAACTTCTAAATGAAGTTAATATATTTCAGTATGAAGACTAAATGCCTAGCATCACCAGGCTAGTTCTCCAGCCCTTTTTACTTGTATGATTTATTTTGTCCCTTTGCTTAGTGAATTTGTGTTAAAGTCCAATTTTTTTTTCCTTTTTCCCCATTATTCATTTTACAGCCCCAGGTCATTTCTATCGAATGCTGTTCAAGACCTGCTCTAAAGACATTATTCACTTTCTCATGAGCCTTTCTCTTACAGTACTTGTTTGAATGCTTCAGATGTATTAAAACTTATCTTTCACTCCCTTTGCATATGCCTTCTCTTCTCTATCATGTGAGGACTCCTCTTTGATCACAGATTATCTGTAGGATGCCAGGCATAAGAGAAAGACACAGCAATCAGCCATGTCAGAGTGTGACTCTTCATATGGACCTGCAATGCATGTAGTCCTCGTCCAGGAGAACTGGTTATACCTTAAATTAGCCTTCCTTGCAAATTAAAAACCCAGCATTGACCCAGTAGTCAGATCACCTCTTAAGTCTTCTCCATGATTTGCTGGGATAGTTACTTCTAATGCAAGGTTTGCTTTTCAGGGCTGGGTAATTTTTTGTGATTCTTCTTCAGCATCTTCAAATGCTTCTCACCAGTGTTCTTCCATGTCTCTGTATACAGAGACAGTGGCTGCTTGGCCTTCCCCAGAGCCTGATCTCATCTTGAGCCAAAGAGGCCCTCCCCTCCCCAAATATCAGAGAAAAACTGAAGATGGGGTAAAAGAAGGAAAATAGATAAACTTAGAAAGAACTTACCCTATAAAGTACACAATATTTAAGCCTTGAATAACAAAGAAAAATAAAGTATAAAGATAACAAAGCAAAAACAGCAAAAAGAAATTTCCTTAAGTGTCTTTTTCACTAGCAGGGATGTGGTTGGAAATATTCCTTTTCTATTCCCATCTCAACTTGCTTGTGTTGGAAGTGATCCATTCTGGGTTGTGTAACACCAGCTGACTAACCCACAGCCAACTCCCAAATCAGTGATCAGAAACCACATCCAGCCAGTCTCATTCCCTGAGACTGCTTCTCTCCTGCACCTTTCCCACCAGTGACAGGGAATTGGCTGCTTGTCCTTGGACAGCAACCCTTATCCAAAACCCTGGCTGTCCACCACATTCCCTGTGTTGTGTTACCTTCCCACCCCCACCGCATCTCCTGGGATGGAAGATGGTAAAGAAATAAAGTTAAAACACAAACTCCATTCTTTTATAAAGTAAAGTGCTCGAGAAGGCCAGAGCTTCAAGCACATAAGCAACTCCAGTGCTTATTATTAAAGGTGATGTTTGTGTCTGAGGTGGAGACAAAAACAACATGATCTTACATAGACATAAACTCTTTTCCTGCCTTAGGCTTTAGTATAAATATACACTACAAACAGGGCTTTCTGAAGTGCCTCCCATGTAAACATCTGACAGTGGTGAGCATGAAACAGATGAAAGCTACGATAAGTCATGAACACATAACAGCTGAATATGATACACCATGTCAGCAATATTTTAAATAGCAGGTATAAAGCAGTTCCAGAAAATGTGTGTTTAGCCTCATGTTGTGAAGATGCCAGGGTTTTTCTTGTTGGTGCACTATAGGTCTGTATCAAGTGAGTTTCATTATTTGGGACCATAAGTTTACAATGGCTTGGTCTCTTTAGCTGGGCAATCATACATGCAGCCAAACAAAAAGAAAAAAAATGCAAGCCAAAGGTAGCTGAAAGATTTATTCATGGCTTAGAAACATGTAGTAGTTCATACAGATAAAGAGATGTTTACTCTAGAGAAATATAGAAAACAAACACAAAAGGGTCTGAGAGTTGTGTGCTCTTGGCAGGGAAGCTGCTAATGATTACCAAGAGCATGAGTCTCAGTGTGAAATTATAGGCTGCGATTAAGTGGATGTGCTGCAGCATTTGGAATCTTCCTGATTTTACATTTTGACCACCCCAGTTCCACACAATTTAAAATGGAATCCCAGAAACACATGAGGCCAGAGTATCTCAAAATACCTGTGACTAGGTCTGTAATGAATGAAAAAAAGTTCTTGCAGAGCCAAAGGATCTGTTTTCAACAGGATCCAAGGTATCAGGCCTTCAGATGATGATAGATGGCGCAGAACTTTTACAGGTGTCCTGTAAAGATGTGTTAATTGCATTATATTATCCAGCCACTAGATGTCTGCATACTATAGCTTCAGGCAGGGTTTGTCCCCCAACATAAAAAGCTTCAGGCAGTGTTTGTTCCCCAACATAAAAAGCAAACAAAGAAAATGTTTCTGTGCAGATGTCTCTCACTGTATCATAATTTGGCATCTGTTTTTATCTGACCTATGCCCCTCCTACAAGGAAGGATCTGTGGGCAAAGAGATACTCTACAATAAAAATTATATGAATGAAAATGGCTGGTTTCTGTTAAAACTGGAAAGTAAACAATAGATTAGGCCAAATGTCAAGATCACATCTATTCAGATAAAATTCAAAAATACCAGAAATTAAATACAGCAGGGCCACCAGTGATTTTAGGAGAACCACAAGTCCCAGTGCTGGTTTGACTCCAGTCTTTCAGGAAGTTCCACTGGTTTTTTTTTGCTTATAATTTGCAAAATGGAGTATCATCTGTTTGATTTCAGTGGAATCAGAGCTGTTAGGAAGTGGAAGGTGAGCTGTGGGCACTGTGAGCCCACAGATATTCCCCAAGTGCCTGCTTTGTAGTAACAGTGTTAAAGCAAGGACACATCTTTCCTGAACTGCAGGACAGCCCAGACTAAGCGTGCTCTGCATGGGCAGTTGTTTACAGACTTGTTTGGCATAAACACTTTTCTCAGGGTTTCCCCAAGGCACAGTGATCAGCAGCCTTTCCTAGGTGATTGCTGTGCTGAAATGCCAAGAGTAGGATAGGGAAAAAAATCCTGTGCTTTCAGGGCCTTTTCTACTGCCTGGAAAGCAGATACTGCTTGAGTTTAGATACCAGGCTTCAAAGGCCCCTCTTATCTGAGTTAATGGGAATAAGTGAAGTCTGTGAAGTTTTGCAAAAATTACTGTTTTACACAAGGCAGCCCCTGCAATGTCTCAAGTGACC